CTGGTCTTCACCATTCTCCCAGTCTCTCCGACATACTTGGCATCACACTGCTCACATGATATGGAGTAAATGGCATTGTGATAATTAAGGGAATCAATGGTTACACTACTTCTTGCTATTGTCTGTTTTAGTTTGGTTGCCAGACTGAGTGTGTTGGAGAAATATGAGTTTACCCCATATCTATTCAGAATTCGTGCTATGGCCGCCGATTTGTAATAGTATGGAATAAAACAGGTGGACCGGTATTGAGCAGTATTTCTTATTCCTGAGAAAACATAAAAATGTTTGCAAACAAAGGATGTCGGATAGCCTGCAGAGTTGAGATTCTTGATTATGTTCTGTTTCTCTATTGCCTGGAAAGATGGAAGGGAACAATGGGTGTGTATACGCTTAGATAAAGTTTTTATAATACTGATTTTTTGGGAATTGGGACAACAGGAAGTGTAATGCGTGTAGTTGGGGAGGAAATCTTTTTTGTAATATACGGTAGTGTGGTAAGAGTTTGGAGTTTGAATTATTAGAACATCAAGGAATGGTATTACACCCCCTTGAGCTATTTCTATGGTAAACGACATATCCTCATTGTAACTGTTAAGGGATGCTAATATAGTTTCGTATGAACTCTGATCACAGACACAAAAGATATCATCTACATATCTGCGCCATAACACGATATCTGTTCTATGTTTTTCATTGATTGATTTGTCAACCATGATCATCACCAATTCTGCTGCAACTGTTGAAAACGAACTCCCCATTGGGGAACCCCGTATCTGTCTGTATGCTTGCGACTCAAATTTAAATACACTCATATTTAGACAAATATCTGCCAGGCATACTATTGTTTGTATGGTGGATGCATCGGTCTGTATTTCTGTCAGGAAGGCAACTATGCTTTCTCTAATAACTGAGTGGGGTAAGCTTAAAAACAATGAAACTACATCATAAGAGCACATTATGGTGTTTGGACCAGGGGAAATTTTCCATAACTCCTCAATGAAATTAGGTGTGTTGTGTACCGTGAATTTATGATTATATTGTTTTAGTAACGGGGAGAAAAAATTAGATAAATACCTGGCTAATGGGGCTGACGGTGATCTGTGACAGGCTACGATAGGGCGCAGTGGGACATTAGGTTTGTGTATCTTAGGTAATCCATATATGTAGGCGTCTGTGGTAAGGCGTGATGTGAATAATTTGAATTCTTCTGAGTTAATCTGGGAGAGTCTTTTTGGGAGAGTCTGGCAACCAAACTAAAACAGACAATAGCAAGAAGTAGTGTAACCATTGATTCCCTTAATTATCACAATGCCATTTACTCCATATCATGTGAGCAGTGTGATGCCAAGTATGTCGGAGAGACTGGGAGAATGATGAAGACCAGAATGGTGGAGCATGATAGATCGGTAAAAAGGAAAGATCCCCGCTCTCTAGTTTACCAACACATACGGGACACAGGCCACACATTCAATATCTATAACCCCTCGGCCCATTATCATGAGATTAAGAACAAACACCAGCGATTGGTCCTGGAAGCTATACTCACCAAAAAATTTAAAAGCATCAATAGAGCAATAGACCTTCCTGAAATATATGATAATTTAGTACTGGAACCTCCTACCTGAAAGATCTAGTTTTCATTAACTTACTTATACTTTTACACGTCAATGGCAATTTTGGTTTATTTTATTTTATTTTATTTCTATTTTATTTTGTTTTATTTCGTTTAACAGTCGTTGTTCATACTTAGTTTCTGTAATAGCCAAGTATTGAATGTATTATACGTTTATTTACTTGCTTTGCTTAATTTTATGAATGATCCTCCAATATTATGTTAATTTTTCTCTGGCAGAATTTTACATATCTGTCTTATTTTCTTACTTTTTGTATATATGTATATAGCTGAATGCCACTAATAATTTTGTCTCGTTTTACACCAGTAGAAGGGTGATTGTGCCCGAAAGCTTGTGAACTAATTTTGTGTAATAAAGAAACTCTTTCCTCATCAAGTATTTCGTTCTTAAAGTTTAGTGAAGGAATTATTATTTCAATATTTAAACTACTATGAATATTTCTGAACGAGAAATTGAGAGATACATGAACCTGATTCATAAGAAATCATTGCAGTTAGCCAGATGGCGTTGTCATCTTCAGTTTAACCGCCGTTGCTTGAGCCTCGACTTTATCCCTCCTTCCCTGCGTATCAAGGATCCAGTACGAAATCCGTTTTCTGAGAAGGTCATCCACAACACCCACCGTCAACTTCTACGTTCCAGATTCCGAGGATGCATGTCTAACATAAGATTCATATCAAAGTCCCTTAAGGGCCTCTTAACTCTCACCGCACAATGTGTTGCGCCCCAAATCCTTACCTCGCTCATAGTACGCATTACTGATGAAATTCGAACCCAGAATTCCTTACTTAATAAGAAGCATGATAAGAAGTTTTATTTTTGGTCGAAAAAGTATGGTTTTCCATACCAGGCTACTGCGGAAGACCACCGTCGAGTCTTGAACCTCTCCAGTACTGAACTTTCCGAAGCAGAGATCTCCTTGCTATCTAAGGGCTTGAATTATCGCAATGAAGCCAAACCTGATGTCCCTAGGATCATCAGCGGTGTAGAGGCTTCTATTAAGGACCTTAGTCACCAGGCGAAAAATGATATTAGAAGCCGTATCTCATCCGTACTCATGAATCCCACAACCCAAAATCCTCAGGCCCGCATGGAGAGAACCATCATGAAAAGGTTGAAAGATCGGAGTGACATCATAATCTGCAACTCTGATAAAGGATCACAGACAGTCGTTATGGATATCTCAACGTATAGATCCAAAATGATGGACGTCCTTACAGATGAATCTACTTTTATTCCCATAGATGAGGATGCCAAGCTTCGCACCTATCAGGATTTCAGGAAAGCTCTATTAGAACAAAAAAGACTCTCCCAGATTAACTCAGAAGAGTTCAAATTATTCACATCACGCCTTACCACAGACGCCTACATATATGGATTACCTAAGATACACAAACCTAATGTCCCACTGCGCCCTATCGTAGCCTGTCACAGATCACCGTCAGCCCCATTAGCCAGGTATTTATCTAATTTTTTCTCCCCGTTACTAAAACAATATAATCATAAATTCACGGTACACAACACACCTAATTTCATTGAGGAGTTATGGAAAATTTCCCCTGGTCCAAACACCATAATGTGCTCTTATGATGTAGTTTCATTGTTTTTAAGCTTACCCCACTCAGTTATTAGAGAAAGCATAGTTGCCTTCCTGACAGAAATACAGACCGATGCATCCACCATACAAACAATAGTATGCCTGGCAGATATTTGTCTAAATATGAGTGTATTTAAATTTGAGTCGCAAGCATACAGACAGATACGGGGTTCCCCAATGGGGAGTTCGTTTTCAACAGTTGCAGCAGAATTGGTGATGATCATGGTTGACAAATCAATCAATGAAAAACATAGAACAGATATCGTGTTATGGCGCAGATATGTAGATGATATCTTTTGTGTCTGTGATCAGAGTTCATACGAAACTATATTAGCATCCCTTAACAGTTACAATGAGGATATGTCGTTTACCATAGAAATAGCTCAAGGGGGTGTAATACCATTCCTTGATGTTCTAATAATTCAAACTCCAAACTCTTACCACACTACCGTATATTACAAAAAAGATTTCCTCCCCAACTACACGCATTACACTTCCTGTTGTCCCAATTCCCAAAAAATCAGTATTATAAAAACTTTATCTAAGCGTATACACACCCATTGTTCCCTTCCATCTTTCCAGGCAATAGAGAAACAGAACATAATCAAGAATCTCAACTCTGCAGGCTATCCGACATCCTTTGTTTGCAAACATTTTTATGTTTTCTCAGGAATAAGAAATACTGCTCAATACCGGTCCACCTGTTTTATTCCATACTCTTACAAATCGGCGGCCATAGCACGAATTCTGAATAGATATGGGGTAAACTCATATTTCTCCAACACACTCAGTCTGGCAACCAAACTAAAACAGACAATAGCAAGAAGTAGTGTAACCATTGATTCCCTTAATTATCACAATGCCATTTACTCCATATCATGTGAGCAGTGTGATGCCAAGTATGTCGGAGAGACTGGGAGAATGGTGAAGACCAGAATGGTGGAGCATGATAGATCGGTAAAAAGGAAAGATCCCCGCTCTCTAGTTTACCAACACATACGGGACACAGGCCACACATTCAATATCTATAACCCCTCGGCCCATTATCATGAGATTAAGAACAAACACCAGCGATTGGTCCTGGAAGCTATACTCACCAAAAAATTTAAAAGCATCAATAGAGCAATAGACCTTCCTGAAATATATGATAATTTAGTACTGGAACCTCCTACCTGAAAGATCTAGTTTTCATTAACTTACTTATACTTTTACACGTCAATGGCAATTTTGGTTTATTTTATTTTATTTCTATTTTATTTTGTTTTATTTCGTTTAACAGTCGTTGTTCATACTTAGTTTCTGTAATAGCCAAGTATTGAATGTATTATACGTTTATTTACTTGCTTTGCTTAATTTTATGAATGATCCTCCAATATTATGTTAATTTTTCTCTGGCAGAATTTTACATATCTGTCTTATTTTCTTACTTTTTGTATATATGTATATAGCTGAATGCCACTAATAATTTTGTCTCGTTTTACACCAGTAGAAGGGTGATTGTGCCCGAAAGCTTGTGAACTAATTTTGTGTAATAAAGAAACTCTTTCCTCATCAAGTATTTCGTTCTTAAAGTTTAGTGAAGGAATTATTATTTCAACATATTTACATATCTACAGGAATATTTGAACCGGCCAACATGAAAACAACAATGGGTTTATACAGGGGAAAGACGCGACATCTAGCGGTCGATATTACATATTTATATTGTCTTCATTGGTTGTTTTATTGATCGTTGATGACTTCATCCTGTATAGTAAACAGGAGATTGTGAGTTCGAATCTCGCCGGTGCCTCTTTTTTACACGGGGCATTTTTTTTTCAGAGCGCCGCTGGTGAAATGGTATAATGCAAGATTCCCATTCTTGCGACCCGGGTTCGATTCCCGGGCGGCACACCTTTTTCGTTGGCCTGTGGCACAACGGATAATGCGTCTGACTACGGATCAGAAGATTCCAGGTTTGAATCCTGGCAGGCTCGTCTTTTTTTCTATATTCGTCCATCGGGGCTCAAAGATCATTCATTCTGGTTATCAACACCGTAAATAAAGATATTTCCGTCTCTTTCCTTGCAGGAAACCTACGCCAAAATTGAACTGCTAGTGTTCTTTACAGGTCGATGTATTGGCAGGCCTTGCCCGCCTAAAGACCAGAATATGTAGATTGTAGCCTTCGCTACTATTGTTGTCTTATTGTCTCGAGATGGAAGTGTGAAAGAAATTGACATAGCCTAATCTGTGAAAAAAATACTACAAGTGTGAAATTGTACTGGGATAATGATAGATCCTGTTCCAAAATCACTTTATTAGGTACCGCTCAACAAGATCAACCTAGTTTATGATATTTTCAACAATAACTAACATATGAAGGTTATATATATTCACATATTAAACAAATTTTTAACGCGGGATTCAATTCCGGGTCATGACTGTCGGGAATCGAGGTTGTTACCCACTCGTCCACTGACTTCTTTTTTCTTTTATGTTAATGATAGATAAATTAAGGAAAAAACATTTTCTTATCGTGAAACTGATAGTTGCTGATGGCTTGAGTCTTAACTACCCTTTTCATTATTTTCAGGATGCCTGAATGACCAGTTTTTTGGTTGTTGAGGTACACATAACACCACGCTGACGAGGACCAACAGCCCGAAAATGCGTACATGGTCAGCTTTTCTTGATGAATCAAGAATGGGTATTTGGTCAATTCTGGAATAATTAAAAACCAATGAATAGTTGATATTTATTCCGATAGATTCTGACAAATCAATTTTCAGTTGCACTATAAGGAGATACCTTTTTCTTAATAACCTATTCTGTCATTGTTCAGAACTTATATGCATACAATCAACTCCGCCTTTGCCGGTCCCAAGCCCGGATGAAAAAGGAGGAGGGGGAGCAGTAACAAGCTCACTAAAAAACCTGGGCTCAGCTGGCCCGGCTGATAGTACCCTGTAAGGGCTCCTAATCCATGGATACAGGATAAGGCTGCGCATGGCATCTGTTATTCATGTCAGAAGCGGCCATTTCTTTTGGAGCTAAGTCAGCCTTCCAATGAGTAGTGCTCCCAGTCTTAATGACAAAGGCAAACGCATTCTACTTCCCCCAGTCATGATGGTTATCAATACCCTAATATGATTGAGTGGAGATAAGAAGAAAGAAGAAGATACATACTTGTTTTTATAATCACAGCAGAAGAATAAATCTCTTAAAACGGTTATCTTTATATTTTCAAAAATACTGATTATTTATTATAATTTCATATTTAATACTCTCTCTCCTTGCTGGATCCTGTTATATTTGTAAAATCGAAATTCATTATTCTTTATTTGAAAAACATCCTAAAAATCTAAAAATTGTATTATACAAATATTAAATATTCTTCATTCAATTTCGATATATATGCAAATAATTATAACTACTTTAAATATCAATTTTGTTTTATGCTTAAATAGATATGTAAATTCAATCAGAAAGTGAATAATTTTCGATTTAATCGAATCATATTCGATATATAGGAAAAACTTCAGGGCCTTTACATTATGGTCTTTCGAGCCGGATTATCAAGAATATAGGTAAGACATTTATATTATTATTCAATTGAATATATCAAATAAGATTCAAAGTCAAGCAATTTGCTATAAACGAAGGTTAATATAGATCATGTTCAAAAAGTCAGAAAACAAATTGCAGCTTACAAGGTGTGTCCAATAAATAATGTGACTGGTCAAAAATAGAGAAAAATAGAATGATTACAAATTTTTTATTAGTATTTTTCAAAATGTCCCCTTCCGCATCTATACATAATTTCCACCTCTTCTCCCATGATTTAAAACATTTCGAAAAGGCATCTTTCGGGATGTTCTTCAAGACATTTTTCGAATCCGCTATGATGGACTTTCTAGTGTCAAATCTCATTCCTTTTAGAGCCATTTTGAGTTTTGGAAAGAGAAAAAAATCATTTGGAGCTAGGTTTGGGGAATAGGGAGGTTGTTGAAGTATTTGGATGCCGTGTTTAGACAAATAAGTCAGTGAACAGATGTAGCGGTGTGTGGTGGTGCATTATCATGATGGATAATCCAATTTTTGGAACTCCACATTTCACTTATTTTCAGACGAATTGATTCTAGTACACGCCTCATAATATTTATATAAGACTCCTTATTGATTGTTTGATCTTCCTCTAGATATTCATAATGCACAATTCCTTTTATGCCAAAAAACGTGACCAATAAGACTTTGTTTTTAAACTTGCAAAGTCAAGATTTCTTCGTTCTTGGTTCATCTTTTCCTTTCCACTCCATGGATTGGCGTTTTGTTTCCGGGTCATACCCGAAACCCATGTCTCGTCTCCAGTTATTACTTTTTCCTTCCAATTAGGGTTTTCTTCCACCATTTAAAGCATTTTTTGGCAACTTCAACGCGATTCTCCTTTTGTTGGATTGTGAGCATTTTAGGGACAAATTTTGAAGGTGTCTTCTTTAACTACAAGCCTTCTTTAATTATCGATCCAACTAATGATTTTCATATCCCTGTTTCTTCCTCAATGTCCCGTAACCCTATTCGTGGATTTTATTTTATCAAATTTGAAATTTGACTCACCTTTTCAGGGTTCCTGTGCAGAATTGGACGTCCAACACGCTTCTCATCTTTCACCGTTTCCATTCTATTTTTAAATCGTGAAAACCATCTAGATGTGGTGGGCTTATTTACAATTTCATTTCCAAATGCCAATTTCAACAAATCAAAGGTTTCTGAAGCCTATTTTCCAATTTTGTAGCAAAATTTAATACAAATTCGTTGTTCGAATTTTCTATCCATTACAAATTAGAAGTTGTTATGCAAGGCATTCTTTTTACAAGCTAACAATTTATCGACTGCGCGCGCAATCACGTGATGTGATATACCGCAGTGTAGCTGAAGCTTTCTATTTTTTTTTTAATAGACTTAAAAAAAAAATTGTCATTTCATTTTTTTCTTTGTTTTTGACCGGTCTCATTATTTATTGGACTCACCTTGTATATTTAACTTTATTAGTAGTAAAATCACGGATATCTTTATTCAAAAATTTATAAAATATAAGAATCAATATTCATTATCAATTTTATATCTGAATAAACAAAAGGTTAAAATAAATTAAAATTTAAACAAGTTATTAGATTCAGAGCTAAATGGTAATTATACTGATGGATATTAAAAGACAATATTTTCAATGTTTGTTCGCATTGAAGAAACTCTGTCCTAATTTGAATCTAAATAATATGGAATTTGAATCTAAAGAAATCCCATGGTATTTACGATTGCTAGAATCCAATGTCAAATTACCTAAGATAAAATTAATCTATATTTGATATGGATTCTCACAGTTTATCTGACTTTAAGGAAATCTTCGAATCCACAATTCTAATCAATCTCTAACTTATAAAAATTCCCATACCTTAAGCGCTCTGCATAAAAATTGATTCATTGTTTTTTATTTCAGTCAAAGGCTATCAATAAACATGGAACACCCTAAACAATCGATACAAAAAAAATTAAAAGATAGATGGTGTCTAGTTTTGACGTTTAATTTGACGGGAGAGGCACTCTATACTTTATATAGATGAATTTCTTCTGGGCAAAATTTCCAACTATACTTTAGCCATAGATTTGGTCCAGCCACATTACCAGCAAATCACCTCTTCGGCAGATTGTCAATATTCCATTAGATCCCTTGTGGATCTCGTGGAATAAAGTCCGCCCTAGGCTGACGAGGGCTATTAGCCCGAAACCATGGTCTCTAGGTGGACGCTTCTCAGTTTACCAAAGCTGGTGTTGTGGCTTTGTCGCCGTCACGAGACCGCTAGTTGCGGCGACGTTCAATAGATGGCGTCAGGTTTTGATGTTTATTTTGACGTGAAAGGACCATAGGCTTATATATAGATTGATTTAATCTGTTTCAGAAGTGCGTAATTATTCTTGTCGGGCTGTTATGCCCAAAAGCCTTGTATTGTCGTGATATAGAAATTCTTTCCTCTCTCAGCGATTTATATATGATTTGTACTTCTAATAAGTATAAAAACTAGGGTCTTTATAATTAACACAATAACAAATGTATATACAAACTTAAACTAGAAACCATCCTAGGAATATTAACATGAAAATACTCTCAATATATCAACCAATACAATGCACTAAACAGGTGCCAAATTTCATAACAGATGGCGCAGCTAATGTATCATATTACAACCTGATTAATTTGCATTTTCCAAGCTCGAATCTATAGCAATGATTTATCCAAGATCTAACACAATATCCCTACAATATTTAATACAACCTAGACGTATATTGTGAACAATTATATATTTTTATAACAAACAATCACACTTGTACAAACATTTCTATTTTACACATTCCGTTTTCTGCATCAACTTCAATATTGACTTTGATCCGTCGAAATATGTTTTCCGCCTTTTTAAAAGGAAGATTCGAATGATTATTCTGATCATTTTAAAGTTATTAAGTGTTCTTTATACCTACAAGTCTTCAGATAAAAAGTCTTTGACCGTGGACTTCTGCTATATGTACAAGGGATTGAAAGAAAACACGGGAGGTGCTTAATACTATAAGATTGTCCCAAAAGTTCGTGTTTTTCTTAAAACGTTGTTTTTATTATTATTTGGCGAATAATATTATTACCGCGAATACATAATACAATTACGTTAAACATAATACAACGACATTATGGGGGTTGGTGGAAGGATGGTCTAAACCGTTGGTTATCGACCGCTACGATCCGGGTTCGATTCCCGCATTGGGCACTTTTTTATGATTAAAAAAATGCTCCAATGGCCTCCGATTCTTGAAAAAGTCCAACCCCAACAGCGA